GATTATTAAAACAACATCATTTAGGGGTCTGCTATGGAAGCACAAGAAAAACACACATATATATATTAAAGCAAGAAATTTAAAGGCTGACTATAAATCTAGCTGGAACAACTCCTAGGGGCTTGCTCCCTTTGAAGCCAATGCCTCCAATCCGGCAACCTTTGTCATGCAGATTCCTTCGGAGTGGGCGTGACAGGGATCTATCCTGTTAGGGGTTCATTCAACTTCTTGTATGCTTATCTTCTTGTCTTTCATGATGTTAAGGTTGTTTTTTCCAACAACTCTTTGGCACTTTTCTCTGTGCTTGTCTCTCTCTGTTCTGGAATTCTGATCACCTGTAAGTTGTTCCACTTCATGGTGTCCACAGAACTCTACTGCTTTCTTTAGATTTTTTCATTCTTATTTTTCTGATTGTTTTTCTAGCATTATAGTATTGAGAGATTGATCTTTAAGTTCACTAATTCAGACTTTCATTGCATAGAATCTGCTTCTTTGCCTTTTCAATGTATTGTCCATTTCTGAGATCTGAGTATTATCTTCTGTGTTTCTAATTACAGGTTTTATATTGATTCAAAATTTGCATTTATTTTGTCTATTTGTTCTTATAGTATTTTCCTGAATTCTTCTAAAGTTCTTATTGTGTTCTCCTTGATTTCCTCAATCTTTCTGTTGATCCTTTAAAGGTACCTAATTATCATTCTTTTGAATTCTTTTTTAGTTAGTGTCATTACTTTTTCTTCCTCAGAATCATTTTCTGGCTCTGCATCTTGGTCATTTATGTGAGCCATAAATGTGCTTCTTTATGTGAACTAAAATTATTTATTGTCTTCAGGGTATTGAAGGGTTGTTGTATTTGTGAAACAAACAGTGCAGTTGTGAACTCAGAGGGGAGAAATCTCTGAGGGGTTCCTTCAATTCAAGAAGCTCATGAGGTGGTTGTGGAAGAGATGTGACAGCAGAGTTCCTGCCCATAGATAGAGTCCCTATCTTCTTCAGAGTTATCTATGTTCAAGGCACTCACTGCAGAATTAGTTCATTGTTGCCACGCTTGAGTCCATTGATGCTGCCACTTGGCCAGTCCATCTCACTGGAGGTCTTCCTCTTTTTCTCTGACACTCCACCCTACCAAATATGATATCCTTCTCCAGCAATTGGTCCCTCCTGACAATATGTCTAAAGTATGGGAGACGAAGTTTGGCCATCCTGGCCTCAAGGAGCACTCTGGCTGCACTTCTTCCAACACAGATCTGTTTATTCTGTTTTTTGTGTGTGTGTGTGTGTGTGTGTGTGTGTGTGTTTGATTTTGTTTTTGCTGGATAGTGTACTTTATTGATGGTACATGACAAGACTGGGCTCTCTAAAGCCCCTCCCCTTCTCCAGGGGGTCTGGATGGAAACTGAGGATGGGAGTTTCTCAGTGTGTAGGGGGATTAGAGTTGGGGTAAAGACTCCCAGCAGCTGAGGGTCTCTCTCTTCCTCTAGTGCCATTGTTAGGACAGGTGGTCCAGGGTGCTCTTATTCTTTGGAGGCCATGTGGATCATAAGATCCACCACCCTGTTGCTATAGCCGAATTCATTGTCATACCAGGAAATGAGCTTGACAAAGCGGTCGTTGAGGGCAATGCCAGCCCCAGCATCAAAGGTGGAAGAGTGGGTGTCACTGTTAAAGTCACAGGAGACGACCTGGTCTTCAGTGTGTCCCAGGATGCCTTTTAGGGGTCCATCTGATGCCTGCTTCACCACCTTCTTGATGTCATTATATTTGGCAGCTTTCTCCAGGCGGCAGGTCAGGTCTACAACAGACACTTTAGGAGTGGGGACACGGAAGGCCATGCCAATGAGTTTCCCATGCAGTTCAGGGATGACCTTGCCCACAGCCTTGGCAGCACCAGTAGATGCAGGGATTATATTCTGGGCAGCCCCATGGCCATCACGCCACAGTTTCCCAGAGGGGCCATCCATAGTCTTCTGGGTGGCAGTGATGGCATGGACTGTGGTCATGAGTCCCTCCACGATGCCAAAATTGTCATGGATGACCTTGGCCAGGGGGGGCCAAACAGTTGGTGGTGTAGGACGCATTGCTGACAATCTTGAGAGAGTTGTCATACTTCTCATGGTTCACGCCCATCACAAACATGGGGGCATCAGCAGAAGAGGCAGAGATAATTACCCTTTTGGCACCAGCTTTCAAGTGAGCCCCAACCTTTTCCAAGGTTGTGAAGACACTGGTGGACTCTACAACATATTCAGCACCAGCATCACCCCACTTGATGTTGGCGGGATCTCGTTCCTGGAAGATAGAGATGGGCTTCCCATTGATGATAAGTTTTCTGTTCTCAGCCTTGACAGTGCCATTGAACTTGCCATGGGTGGAATCATACTGGAACATATATACCATGTAGTTGAGGTCAATGAAGGGGTTGTTGATGGCAACAACCTCTACTTTGCCAAAGTTAACAGCAGCCCTGGTGACCAGGCGCCCAAAACGGCCAAATCCGTTGACTCCGACCTTCACCATCTTGTCTCAGGGATGCGGCTGGTACTGCAAGAGAAGCTGCGGCTGTCTGTCGAACGGGGAGGAGCTGAGAGCCCTGTTTATTCTTTTGTCAGCCCATGAAACTTT